TCCAGCCTCCGGCAGGAGGGAACGAAGGGGCTGAGATTAGGCCAGCGGCAAGTTAGACCAGGCGCGGAGCAAACGTGCCCGTTCCTATTCGCGCTTCAGCCTGTTTCGTGCGCTGCAAATTCTCCTTGCAAAGAGAACATGCCTGGAAGCACTAACGTGGGGTCATTTTCCACAGTATCGCACTCCGCCCCATGGATGCTCAGTCCAGCCCAGAAGAGGGAGCGAAGAAGGCCCCAGAGGACCTTGAAGGGCAGCGGCAGGACCTCATGCTTCATAAACTAGGTCTTCTTTTTTTCTTTTCTTTAAATGAGGTGTGGACCTCAGCAATATCCTGCACCGGGCAATGTGGAGGTCCCACGTGCCTCCAGAAGTATTCCTCCCTGCTCTGAATCCTCAGAGCAATAACTACCGGGCACAAACACACACACAAACTTCCTCCTCCGCTGCATTAGTATGACCAGGCTAAAAACCTTCTCAAAAGGCTGGTACCCCTCAAGGCACAGCTCCACCAACTCAGCAGCACGAGCATTCCTCATTCGATTCCTGCTTCTAAGAGGAGCAGCCAGACCCCTAAAAGAGAAGCAGCAACAGCTCAGGAAAGATTTTTTTCCCTCTATTTTGAAAAAGAGGATCTTCAGACTCCAATATTTTTGCTGCTCTAACTCCACATACGCATTTACACGCATGCACACGCATCGGATGAGGATGGAGCTGCTACTAATGGAGAGTCAGTCTCCTGGAAATGACAAAAGGTTCATTTCTGCTCATTAAGGGGTCTTGGAAAACGCCAGTCAGCACTCAGGCTCATCCCTCAAGCACAAAAGCAGGTTTGCACAGTCAAATTTTCAGGAGATCAGAAAAGCGCGGCTGTTCAAGCCCCACGCAAATGCCAACTCCCTAGCAACACGGGCTTTCTGCTCCGGCACAAAGGCTCTCCAAGGAAGGCAGGTTCCTCTCCCAGCACGGCCAGGAAAAGCCTAGCAGCACCGAAAGATGCTACCGCTCAGGCTATAGGAATGTGCAGAAGCAGTGTCAAACCAGCCAAAGAGGCATAGAGAAGGGGTTTTTTTCCTTCCTCTTTTTTTTTTTTTTTTGAAAGCAGGGAGCTGGGTGCCATCAGCAGTGCCCGCAAGGGTGCAACTCTGCCAATACCAGCTGGGTCCACACGCGCGGAAGGCGCCATCCCAGCACAGAACACCATCCTCGACCTGCTCTTCCAGTTTCCATCCAGCCTCGCTGCTACTACGAGCTGTGCTCACTAAAAATCCTGGAGGTTTTAAAGACGAAGAGGGATCCGTCCTGCCAGCCAGCAAAGATTTTCAAAACGGTGGATCAAAAAGGCCTGCAACGTTTTGGAGAGCAGACAGGAGAAATGTCGGACCCCAAGCAGTTACTCTTCACGGGTCACTGCAGACAGAATATTTGTCCTTAGTGAGTCCCTTACCGATTTCAGGCAAGGGTTTTGAACAGCCCCCAGGGCTCCTAACCCTCCTGCTGCCGGCCATCGTTCCCCGGCTCGCACCACCCTTCCAGCTGAACCAGCTCTCGCGGCCCCGACGCAGATATTTCCCACCATGAAGCCAGCTTGCGACACACTTCTGGGTTCAGCCTCATTCAAAGTCTTCTGTTGTCAAGGGAGGTTTTGTGGCAACTTTCTTCTGGTTACAACTTCACGTCTGAAGCTCTTAAACATCTCTCTTCTTAATTCCTCCTTTTGTAGCGAGAGCGCAGCGCTGGTAGTGGTTTCTACACTCATGGCTTATTATCAGTCATCCAGATCCTTCATAAAAGTTTTTTTTTTAACCAATTGAGCATATCATGCCAATGCAAGAACTGCTTGTGTTACAACCAAAGCCCTCTGAAGATTTAAAGCCAATTATTTCTAGACTTGTACCCTGTTTTCCTTATTTCTCAATATTTCTTATTTCTCTTATTTCTCAATTAAACAAGTTCGTTAAAGCTTTGTGACCTCCTGCAAACCTATCCTGCCTCTTTTTAGCTCATATGCATTGTTCCGATCGTCCGTTTTTGTCCAAGAATGGCACTTATTTCACAAAGCGATCTCGCTACCTATTTATGAGGCTCCTTCCTTAGAGCATACTGCAGGCAAGGAATTAATATTCCTAGTCAACCTATTTAATTTTATTTTAAAAGGGACCTGAGACAAGACAGCTTGTGATCTAACCCACCTTCTCCTTTGCAGATACAGAGCTCTTCGTTATTTTATTAGCAACTAGCACGGCATTCAAACCGCTTTGGCAGCCTTCACATTGCTGTGGGGGTGTACTGACAACATCATGAAGGAACTTTAAAGCACTAGTGAAAAAA